GGGGGGGGGGGGGGCGTCGCGCAGTCTGAAGCGTCTGAAGGAGGGGGAATGTGTGATGTATGGTCTTCTACGGAGGGAGGAGCGGCGGAGCGGGCGGCGGGGGACGATCGATCGGCGACGCCCTCGTCGTGTGCGGCGGTGCTTTACGGACTATGCCCTCAATACGAACAAACGTGAGCTCCTCAGGCAGGAGCGGCAAAACGTGATCGATCGAAGAGAATGGGGGAATGCAGCCAGCACCACTTTTTTCTTTTTGTTGCCTAGGGGTTGGGTTGGCGCGCCCCCGCTCTTTTCACTTTTGTGATTCTCGTCGGTCGTTTCGGCCGAGGGCCGTGTCGGTGCCCGTGTCGCGTGAGGACGCGTGTCCTGTGCTTTATCGCACAGCCGGCACAGTGCACAGACGCGATAAAAATTCTCTCGTCTCAGAGAGTTTGACCGTTTACATGTATTGTCGGGACGTTACCGCGCGCACACACGCGCACGCACGCACGCCCCCAGGGAGTCGGCCGGCGCGAAGCGACGACCGCCGAGCTTTAGGTCGCCGACATCCAGCCGGAGCTGCGAGTCCACACGGAAGCCTCTAGGGCGAATTCACTGGGACAGGATTTCGCAGAGACTACCTCATTTGCTGCTCCCCCCATGAAGGGGGGTTTGTGTGGGAAGCCAAGGGAGGTTAATGGCTTCCCACATTTGTGATGGGTCGAAATCGGCCCGCATTGATGGTCGAATCGGTGTAACGAATCGAGAGAGAGAGACGCGAGGGCCCAAGAGGCCCGTGGGCTCGCCTGCAGAGCGTCTCTCTCTTGCCATTCTGCTTGTCTGTTTTGTGGCCTCTTCTCTCGTCTGTCGGTGTTTTGTTGGGGTTGGAAGGGGTTGGCACGGGGGTGGAAGGCCACCTCCAGAAGCAACAGCAACGTGTTCGAGCGTCAACCATATTCGTCGTCGGGAAGTGGTTCCGATACGTGATTCTGGTAGGCTGGAACACGCTGACGGTAAAGAGGCCGCAACGCATGGGCTTAGCGGATCTCTCAAGGAGATCGCTACAGCACGGAGCAGCGTCAAGGGAGCTGGCAGAGGTTGGAGCGACTGCGATGTGGAGGCAGAGCCAATACTTGCTCAAGTTAGTCTTGACGCTGCGGACGACAGGATTTGCTGGGGCGGCATCACGCCGCCTGGCATGTCTCGGCGCGGCGCCGAGGCACAGAGCCGCTGCGATGCAGCGGCGGCAAGGCACGGCGGCGAAAGCACCATCGCCGGGCAGTCTCGGGGTGGCGTGGAGGGCCACTCGAGCTCTGCCGGCGGTGCGGCCGCCGCTCACGGGCACGCGACGCGAGGAGGCGTCGCCGAGGGCGTCGACGAGGCGCTCGACGAGGCGCGGCCGCGGGCCGGGTCCTCTCGGAGCCGCGGAGGCGCCGCTGCAGGCGGCGGCGGCGAGAGCGAGGTCGGCAGGCAGAGCGGCTGTGGCGGTGAGGGCCATGCGGGCTCTGCTGCCGGCTCGCTCGCCTCTCTCGAGGATGCGACGGCCGGGACAGCCGTCGCTGCAGCCGGCGGCACCGCGCCGCCTGACGAGCCGCGTCCGTGGACAGCGGCGAGCACCCGCTGCTGGGCGAGGGCAGCGGCGCAAGTTGGCGTCGATGGCGCCGTCGCCGCAAAGCGTGATCGAGATCGCTTTGGCGGAGGCGCGAGCGACGCGGTGCACGACGAGGGGGCGGGCCTCGTCTCGGTGGGCGGCGGCGGGCCGCCTGGCATGTCTCGGCTCGGCGCCGAGGCACAGAGCCGCTGCGAGGCAGCGGCGGCAACGCGCGGCGGCGGAGGCACCATCGCCGGGCAGTCTCGGGGTGGCGTGGAGGGCCACTCGAGCTCTGCCGGCGGTGCGGTCGCCACGCACGGGCACGCGACGCGAGGAGGCGTCGCCAAGGGCGTCGACGAGGCGCTCGACGAGGCGCGGCCGCGGGCCGGGTCCTCTCGGAGCCGCGGAGGCGCCGCTGCAGGCGGCGGCGGCGAGAGCGAGGTCAGCAGGCAGAGCGGCTGTGGCGGTGAGGGCCATGCGGGCTCTGCTGCCGGCTCGCTCGCCTCTCTCGAGGACGCGACGGCCGGGACAGCCGTCGCTGCAGCCAGCGGCACCGCGCCGCCTGACGAGCCGCGTCCGTGGACAGCGGCGAGCACCCGCTGCTGGGCGAGAGCAGCGGCTCAAGTCGGCGTCGATGGCGCCGTCGCCGCAAAGCGTGATCGAGATCGCTTTGGCGGAGGCGCGAGCGACGCGGTGCACGACGAGGGGGCGGGCCTCGTCTCGGTGGGCTGCGGCGGGCCGCCTGGCATGTCTCGGCTCGGCGCCGAGGCACAGAGCCGCCGCGAGGCAGCGACGGCAAGGCGCGGCGACGGAGGCACCATCGCCGGGCAGTCTCGGGGTGGCGTGGAGGGCCACTCGAGCTCTGCCGGCGGTGCGGCCGCCACGCATGGGCACGCGACGCGAGGAGGCGTCGCCGAGGGCGTCGACGAGGCGCTCGACGAGACGCGGCCGCGGGCCGGGTCCTCTCGGAGCCGCGGAGGCGCCGCTGCAGGCGGCGGCGGCGAGAGCGAGGTCAGCAGGCAGAGCGGCTGTGGCGGTGAGGGCCATGGGGGCTCGGCTGCCGGCTCGCTCGCCTCTCTCGAGGACGCGACGGCCGGGACAGCCGTCGCTGCAGCCGGCGGCACCGCGCCGCCTGACGAGCCGCGTCCGTGGACAGCGGCGAGCACCCGCTGCTGGGCGAGAGCAGCGGCTCAAGTCGGCGTCGATGGCGCCGTCGCCGCAAGGCGTGATCGAGATCGCTTTGGCGGAGGCGCGAGCGACGCGGTGCACGACGAGGGGGCGGGCCTCGTCTCGGTGGGCGGCGGCGGGCCGCCGAGCATGTCTCGGCTCGGCGCCGAGGCACAGAGCCGCTGCGAGGCAGCGGCGGCAACGCGCGGCGGCGGAGGCACCATCGCCGGGCAGTCTCGGGGTGGCGTGGAGGGCCACGCGAGCTCTGCCGGCGGTGCGGCCGCCACGCACGGGCACGCGACGCGAGGAGGCGTCGCCGAGGGCGTCGCCGAGGCGCTAGGCGAGGCGCGGCCGCGGGCCGGGTCCTCTCGGAGCCGCGGAGGCGCCGCTGCAGGCGGCGGCGGCGAGAGCGAGGTCAGCAGGCAGAGCGGCTGTGGCGGTGAGGGCCATGCGGGCTCTGCTGCCGGCTCGCTCGCCTCTCTCGAGGACGCGACGGCCGGGACAGCCGTCGCTGCAGCCGGCGGCACCGCGCCGCCTGACGAGCCGCGTCCGTGGACAGCGGCGAGCACCCGCTGCTGGGCGAGAGCAGCGGCGCAAGTCGGGGGCCATGCGGGCTCTGCTGCCGGCTCGCTCGCCTCTCTCGAGGACGCGACGGCCGGGACAGCCGTCGCTGCAGCCGGCGGCACCGCGCCGCCTGACGAGCCGCGTCCGTGGACAGCGGCGAGCACCCGCTGCTGGGCGAGAGCAGCGGCTCAAGTCGGCGTCGATGGCGCCGTCGCCGCAAAGCGTGATCGAGATCGCTTGGCGGAGGCGCGAGCGACGC